CTGTGATTCTGTTTGATTCTATCCCATGACCAAAGTTGCAAGATGAGCCCAGGTTTGCACCTGGCAGTGTGACTGCCCCAAGCAGAGGAGCTCGTGTTTCTCATGGGTGTCACAGCCACTGCCACCAGGCTGCTGTTAAGAAAGATTGCCAAATATTGCATTCTATGGCTTGAAAACTGTCTGAAAAACTCTAAAAGACAGAAATGCAAGGTGACAGATTTACAAAGGTGGCAGGGAAGGAATAAGTTGGAAAGAAACCGAGACAAGATGGTGAGAAGGAAAGGAAGGAATACATGGGGAAGGGAGACAAATGTACCAGGCAGGAAACCAAGTGAAAGGAGGAGGTGAAAGAGGAAGCAAACAGGATGGTCAAGAAAGGGACAGAGAGGGAAAGGCTGAGAAAAAAGGGGAAAATAGTGAAAAAGGACACAGTGGAGGAGGGGAAAATGCAGAGCTTCCTTCTAAGAGATAAGAGAAAATAAATGGAGTCTGCTGCTGCTCGAAGCAGCCAGCAGCCGAAGTAACATTACTGGGTGTGCATTTCCACAAGAAATGTACATGAGACTGGTAACAAATTACACAGGGCTGTCCCCACTCTGGGCAGAAATCCCAGAAATAATAAAGTAATAACTGATATTCTCCTAAGTCTTGTGATTTTGGGGTCCTCAGACAGGCAGAGTTGGAAACATACTGACTACAGAAGGGCAGTGTTGCCCCTGGGAGGGGCTCTGGCTTTGTCCATGTAGCTGTATATTCTTTTGATCACAGACATGAGATGCAGAATTAAATTAAATTATTCTTTGGCTTTCTTTTCTCCTGAGGTTCAGCAGGAATTTGAATTCAGTCCATGTAACACTTTTGTCTCTTTGCTTGCATGAAACAATCCTAATTGCAGACTATACTTTTTGAATATAATTTCTGCCAAACATCCATTCAAAGAGGACAGAGAGCTGTGCTCTCCTACTTGGGTGTTCAGATTAAGATCATCCAAGTCAGCATGCAAACACTCTAAGGTGGGCTCTCACTCATCCTGCCAGAAGAATTTGGTGCAATGACTATTTGATTACAATTTATATTCCATTAAAAAATACAGTAGTAAGCTTTTAAGGCTGCAAGGTCAAACTTTCAGGAGAAAGAAGATTCCCAGGCTCAGGCAGGATAACCCTTCTGGCCTTATATGCCTATGCCCTATGACAGATTTTATTCAGAGGATCATGTGCAATTTTTGCACAAAATCCCCTTATCATTCAATGCACAGGGTTAGGCATTTCATTAAATCTTTTCAAAGAACTCTAATCCATAAATATCCATCAGAGAAAACTTTGTGAATGGTTGATATTTGGCAACCAAAGAGTTGAGTGGGAGCCTGTGGGCTGGGAGACGTCAGGCAGTAATGCTTTCTGCCCTGCTCCTGACTTTGTCTGCAAATTTCTAACTGCAATTACTGTCAGATAAAAGTACCTTTTCCTGCCAGTTTGGCAGAAATATGTAATGGTGGCTTACAAGGTAGATTAGCCACCAGCACAGCAGGTGATGGAATTAGCCTTGGTGGCATAACAAAGTGGGGCTGCCTTCCCTGCTGGCTGGCTGTGGGTGGAATTGTGTACTGTAAATTGCAGGGACAGTGTGTGAGCAGCACAAGTGAATTTTCTCCCCACGACTTGCCTCACGTGTAAAGAGCAGCCCCAGCCCCTGGGGAGCAGCCCCAGCCTGCCTGAGGGTGACACACGTGCTCCAGGGTTTCACCTCCTGTGGGGTCACCTTTGTCTGAGTAACAAAATCAGGAACCATCTCCTGGTTCCAAAGCAGGGCTTTGTTGGGAAAGCCCTGCTGAATCCACAGTAGCAGGACACAGGGAGAAAAGGGCAGCACCCTTCCACCCCCACAAACACCACAGGCTCTGCTGCCAAGAGAAAAAACAGTTCCAATTCAATTGTTTTCCTTGTGGCAAAGCTGAAATTCCCATTCAGGACATTTAAAAGCTAAAAATCAGGCATCCACAGTAGAATTTAAATTGGTCAAGATCAGGCTTTCCACACAGGGAGGCAAACACACATCAGGGTGAGCTGAAGTGCTTCTGGTGCCTGCTTAAAGCCATCCTACCATGGCAAGCACACAGCTGCATTTTCTTTCAAAATACTACTGAAGCCTTTTTAAAGAGAGGGGGAATAATCCAGATTCTGGCAGTGGGGACTATTTCACAAATCATATATGCTTTGGCATCAAGCCCTTAAAGCCAGGGGCCTTTACTCACAGGCTTTGCTGGGAGAGATCCACCCACCTCAAGTGGGATTAATTAAAAGAGGCATGTATCATGCAAATAGTTTCTGTTTCCTTACAGAAATATTCAGAGCACATAACCCAAACCAGCTTTAGAATCAGAGCGAAGCAGGGAAGAAAATTATTTCCTGCTCTCCTAACTCTTTTCCTTTCCCTGTACATTAAGGAACAGTGAGAGAATGCCAAGAGCTCACCATTTCTGTACAATTCCTTTGATAAATCCTAATAAAGTAGAAGAAAAAAACTTATGTTTTCAAAGAAGGGCTGTATCTCACAGTAAGGTGCCAAATTTTCCACATCAAACGTGTGCTAATCTGCTCACTGGACAAGGACAGTCCAAGTCTTACCCCTGAAAATGATCTTTTTATCTTAAGGCAGAAAAGGAGAAAATGGAAACTTTGTATTTCTTCAGCATGTCAGGATTTTCAGCTCCATATGACAGGGACAGGGGCTGCAACAGAAAACTCCTTTGGAAAGGGAGATAAACTTTAAAAATACTACTTTCTTCTCAGGAAGCTAAACTATTTTCCTAGATAAGAGAGATCCCAGCACTTCAAGGAATCACTGCAGAAAATGGTGGTGGAACAGTCAGAGCACAGCACCCCAGTTCAAAAATAAGTCACAGAAAAAGCTCAAGTTTCCACGAGAACTCTTCCTCAAAACTCTTTTTTCCCCCTTTAATATCTCAGACCCATTTTCTGAGTCAATTTCCTATGATCCTGCAAAGGCTGTTATTAAAACCAGACCAAGCGTAACTGAAATTCCAGGGCTCAAAAGAAACATTTAATAGGCGCAGGAGCTGGCCACACTGTCCCCCTCAGGTGATTTCCCCTGCAGCCCCTTCCCTGGGATTTCCTCCCTCGCAGTTTAGTCAGCAGAAGAAACCTGAAGTTTCAGCAGAATGGCAAACCCTTCCTTCATTTTTTAACAGTTGAGATTTTTTTCTGTCTGAGGCTTTCATAGCTCTAAAGGAGAGAACTAGGATCTAGTCCAGAAGATGTGTATTGCAGATTATTTTTTTCCACAAAAATGTCAGGCAGTCTCACATTCAATTCTGTATCCAGCTACAGCATTTGAAAAATCACTGACCTCCTTTATCCGCCACTGCTTTTCACGCCACCAGCGGCACTCCCGGACTGAGGCGTTCCCAAGCTGCTTACCCATGTGCCTTTTGCGTGCTAGAAAATTCCTTTCTGGTCTCCATCCCACCTATCCCTTTGGCATGAGGAAGACGATCAGCAGACATGCTCTTGGCAAGGCACCCTGGGGAAGCAGCGTCCATGCACAGCCGCGGCGGGCACGGGAGGGAGACGCGCTGTTTGCAGGGCAGGGCACAGGAGCCATGGTTCTCTCTGCTGGCACAGCTGGCACAACTGCACCTCAGCCCTGCACCCCACTGATGTGGCCCCTGATGGCACAGAGGAAGCAGCAGGGCCAGCACCCCAGGCTCTCCCAGCAAGGGGATGGTCCTTGGGTTCTTCCCTTCCAGCACAAAGTTTGGAAAGGTAATTCCAGGTTCTCCCCAGCGGTCCCTGCTGCAAGCTACAGGATTTTCACTAAGGTGAAAGAGTATTTCATGGCTGGACATTGATGCCACAACGCCCTTTTCATAGCAAATATATAAAAATACTTCCTTCCTTTGATATACCTCATTTATTTATGCTTTCTATTATAAAGGGTAATTATATTAGAAACACTGAGCCTCAAATTTAAGTTACTGACAACTATGACAGATCTCACCTATTTAAAAGAAAATTCTTCTCCAAAGCTTCTCTTCTCAATTACCATTTTTAAAATTGAAAATGTGCACATTTTATTTTTGTTCCTATTTAGCTGGCTCTTTTTTTTTCCTGAACTGTGAGTACTTTGAATGTAACAGCTAATTTATCAAAAATGGAGAAACCCCTTTGTTCCAACATTGCCTTATCTGCCCACGCCTCTCATAATTTAGAAAGTTAATGAATCCCTCAGAATCAGAGGTTTTAATATATATATATAAGTGATTAAGTGTATTACATCATTGTGAAAATAAACATTAAGGACATTCTATTCATATAACATATAAAAAAGCAATCAATGCCATAGAAAATTATACAATATGCAAAGCTACTTTAAAAGGCCCTGATAAATGCTAAGCCCTGAGAAGGAAAGGAAATAATGCACTGAAGATAATCTTGTTCCTTAACTAATTGCTTGGTATGTATGATGTACTCTATCAGACAACCAGGGACTGCTTCCAACTGGAAATTAGTGGCTTTGCAGGACAAGAATCAGACTCCTACCAGTTTGTTCCACTGGTTCTACAAGAATTGCTCTTGTTCTCTCCCAGCAGAGTGCTTGCTTCCTCTGGTGAGGGTTCAGAAGGGCAGAAGTGAGGAGCTGTACCCCTGCCCCTCTCCTCCCGGGGATGGGCAACCTCTCTGGTCACTTATAAGGGTACAACACCACCAGAACTGGGGTTCTTAATGTGAGCAAATCAGGGGCCTCCAACTGACTGACTAGAATTTTTATAAATGAAAAAACTTCCTATCTTTTCAAAGAGGGTATGTGCTAAAAGCAGTTCCATCAAACACCTCTGAGTGTGCAGGGAATGCCCAGCTTTGCTTTGCTCCAAGCCCTTCTCAGCAGCAGCGCTCGCCTTCCCACCCACGGAGCAGCGCAGAGTCTGTGGTGCCAGAGGGAGAGAACCATGGCACCCCCAGCAACACCAAACCTCTTACCTTGGCACGCTGGGAGGAGCCCGGCTGGGCCGAGAGGGAACCTGGGGGGGTCCTCCATGGCCTTCAGCACTGGGAAATGGAGGCAGAGGTCCTGGGCGGAACGGGACGGGGGGAGCCCCCGACTGAGGGCCTGGAGAGGGGATGGCAGGAGCGGGTCCTCGGCCGGATAAAGGTCTGGTTGGGGGGTTGTTCAAGGTAGGTCTCCTCGGAGTTGAAGGACTTGGAGGAGGTGATCTGGTGAAATATCAGAGATTTTAAAAGTTCAGTAAGGTAGGGGTGAGGGTTTTGGGTTTTCTTTGATGTATTGTACTTTACTTTAAACAAAAGTTAAAACTTATGACAGATGTTTTTTATTGGCATTTTCCTTGGCTGTCAGTGTCAGAGGATCACATACAATTAAGCCTCACGTGTTTCCCACTGACAGCACACAAGCAAAGAGGTGAATAAAATGTATTTTATTATTCAAGTCCTAATAACGTTTTGTTAAGTAGAATCTCTAGGACATGGAGCCTGACATGATGAATTTTAACAGCTTGTAAAAGGAGGCCAAGTGGATACAAAACTGAGGTGACAGAAGCAGCTGCTATTTGAAGCATCAGAGAAGCTGTAAGTCCACTGGATGGTCTTTTGCAAGGCAAATATCCTGTCTGGTGCTCACATAAACATACCCACTAAACAGGTGGATGTGTTTATATATATAAACATATTCCCATATTATATATGGGAATATTCCCACATTATATATGGGAAAATGTGTTGATTTTCCTTAATCATTAAGATGTCATTAAGACCTGGAGGAGCATCTTCCCAAAAAGACAGGCAGGGAGGGAGCTCCTGATCTTGTTGGAATCCTGATCACTGAGAATTTTAGATTTTCTGTGCTGACAGGCACTGCCCCTCAAGAGAACACTGGGTTGACCTGAGGCCATGGAGAAGGCTTCCAAAATGGAATGACAGAACTGGGATTGTGGGTGTGGAGTTTGAGTAGAAGTGTGTAATATCACATGGTGGAAAACTTAAATTTTTAGAATGCAGTAGACAGAATCTAGTCCTTCTTCTTTACCTTTTTCTTCATAAGTTTGAGTAGTATTGTATAATTAAATAAAAAAGTCCGCATTATAGGCCATGAGTAATTAGTTATTAAGTTAAAAGTAAAAATAATTTGTCATTTCTTAATTAGACAGTTTACCTTTAAAAAACCTTATAGAAAAAGAAATACAACTCCATTTTTAGTTTGTTAGAGTGAAGCACTGTAGAACTCACAGTTTGTAAAACTGTAATAGAGATAAAAACTAATAAACATCCGAACATAAAATACCATCTCACACATTTAATCCCAAACTTAAATAAAAAGAAACAAAGACAGTGGCAGTGCCCCAGACAGTCAGGCTGACCACTGTGGCATTTACATTTCTGACCATGATTTTTTTCGCCTAGGGTTTTTCTCCTGGGAAGCTGAAAGGTAGCAAGAGGCTTCAGAGAAAAGAAAAACAATTCTTATTTTATTTGTTTCTTTTGTGTTGTGCTTATGTAGAATGTGTTTGGAGATTGTTTATTTAGGGTGATTGCTTGATTGGACTCTGGTGTGAGTTGTTTTGACTTATTGGCCAGTCAGGGCCAAGTTGTGTTGGGACTCTGAAAAGAGTAATGAGTTTTTATTATTATTTTTTTAGCATTTAGTAAGTATTTTTTCTGTATTTTTTACTATTTAAGGTGATCGCTTGATTGGACTATGGTGTGAGTTGTTTTGACTTATTGGCCAGTCAGGGCCAAGTTGTGTTGGGACTCTGAAAAGAGTAATGAGTTTTTATTATTATTTTTTTAGCATTTAGTAAGTATTTTTTCTGTATTTTTTAGTATAGTATAGCATTCTTTAATATAATATAGTAAAATAAAGTAATAAATTATCCTTCTGAGAACAGGGAGTCAGATGCATTGTTTTCCTCTGCCACGGAGCTTGCCGTGCATTCACAGCAGAGCACGTGCGTGCCTGTGCTGGGTTTCATGGCAGTGCAGCTGTGAGGCTGCTCACCTGCGTGCCTGCTGCAGCCAGGAGTCATCCACGGGCGGGGGAGCAGGGGTGGACACGGTGCTGGTGCTGATGTCGCCGATGATGGCCAGCGCCTCCTGCAGCGCCTGGTACATGCGCAGGGTCTCGTCCCGCCGCTGCGCCTGCTCCGCCGACTCCTCCATCAGAGTGTTCTGGTCCTCAGAAGAATACAGGTGAGCCAGCAGCTCTGCGTTGATAAATTCTTTTACCTGTTTCATCAGACAGAAAAAAAAAAAATCCAAACCACCAAAGAAATAAACAAAAGTCTCTATGGAAAATACAATGCTGAACAAATGCAGGGGAGATCAATGGAAGCAGGAGATTGAATCAGTTTTTCTTACTGCCTTACACCAGTTCTGCTGCAATTCTGCATCTCTGAGGTGACACCTCTGCATTGTTTTCCTCTGCCATGGAGCTTGCCGTGCATTCACAACAGAGCACGTGTGTGCCTGTGCTGGGTTTCATGGCAGTGCAGCTGTGAGGCTGCTCACCTGCGTGCCTGCTGCAGCCAGGAGTCATCCACGGGCGGGGGAGCAGGGGTGGACACGGTGCTGGTGCTGATGTCGCCGATGATGGCCAGCGCCTCCTGCAGCGCCTGGTACATGCGCAGGGTCTCGTCCCGCCGCTGCGCCTGCTCCGCCGACTCCTCCATCAGAGTGTTCTGGTCCTCAGAAGAATACAGGTGAGCCAGCAGCTCTGCGTTGATAAATTCTTTTACCTGTTTCATCAGACAGAAAGAAAAAATAATCCAAACCACCAAAGAAATAAACAAAAGTCTCTATGGAAAATACAATGCTGAACAAATGCAGGGGAGATCAATGGAAGCAGGAGATTGAATCAGTTTTTCTTACTGCCTTACACCAGTTCTGCTGCAATTCTGCATCTCTGAGGTGACACCTCTGCTTACACTTCATTTCCCAGGAGCCAGCTGGCATTTTGGGCATTTCTAAAGGGCTGACTGGGAAGTAAATGGTAGTACCATCAGATACAAATTCCCCAGGGAATGGGAATTTTCAGGCTTTATGGCATACCTGTCAATTACTTTCTTTGCAACAATTTATCCTACTGTAGGATAAATTCCAGCAAGTCTGGAATTTCCAGCAAGTCTGTCAGATTCTGAATAACCCATCCACACACATTCAAACTGAAGGGAGAAGTCTCCAAGTAATCTAATTTACTATATTGATTTCCTGCTATGCCTGCCCTGGTTATAGAAACCTGGGCCACATTAAGAGACATAAAAAGCTAGAGGTACTCTGATTAAATAAGACTGTGGTAAACAGACCAACTGCTGACCTACTAAATCCTTGCATTTGAGACTTGTTGCTATTCTGATCTATTTCTCATCTGGTGCTTTGCTCCATAAAGCCTTTTTGAGCTGGAGATACTGATGACAATACATTCCCAGGATTCTGATTACATAAACCGGAGCTCCGTTTGCACATGGGTTTGTGCTAGTTTGTGATTTAAAGCCTGACAGCGAGACTAAGGCAATGTTTGTGTTTAGACAAGGTCAGTGAGAGCAGTGAGCCAGCACAGCCATGGGACCTTTTCTGGTCACCAGCAATGAGCAGGCAGCCAGGACAGAGCTCAGAGGGAAGCAAAACCATATTGCCTGGGCTTGGCTGTCATTTCCCATTCACGTATGACAGGAGATGCACAAATTCTTAGCAAAGCCTGCAAAATTTTTCCATGAGTTTCATGCTGTTTTCCAGTAGATGGTACTGATCAAGAGCCAGAGTACACTACTTTCCTTGTGATTGCCAAAAACTCCACATTAAAAACAGATATCATAGTTAAACAGCATCACATTCTGCTCGATGAAATGAGCATTTTAATGGCATCACTTCAAAAAAAGAAGTCCTAAAATTAGATTAAGGCCAGAGCTGATTGTAAAGGCATTGTTAAACCACAAATATCTATTTGAAAAAAATCAGCCTGTGACAATTATCATGAGAGGTCCCTGTCTGTCACTGGCAGAGGATTTGAGTAAATGCCTGAACTCCTCTGGAAAGGGAAGACTGCTGTGTTAAGGATGGATCTTGGATCAGCCTCCTGCCCTCCTGTGCTGTACTAGACAGAGGAAGATCTTCCACCAGAGCTTTCTCCAGCTTGAAATGGAAGGGAAAGTGATGCTTGCTCATATTTGCTCCTTTCTGGAAAGCAGACCCACAGGAATGGTTTAAAACATTTTCCTTCACAGACATCAGTCAAAGCTGAACCACAGCAAGCATCCAAATGCCAGTGCCCCAAATCTGCCCTGGCACTCTGAAATGGGGCAAGGTGGGCTTGGAACCTCCTCAGTGGGAAGACAACACATGGCACTGCCTCAAATGCAAACACAAGCCATTCCTTGGCAGCAACAAGTCCTCTGGAGTTTTTCTCCTCAGCTGAGATCACTGTCAGCCCTGTTCATGGAGCATACACTGAATACTCTTAGGACCACCCCTCTTGTATAATCCAGGGTACCAAGGCACCATGAAACACAAACTTGTGTATGTGTTTTTTGTTTGGGCATGTTTGAATTGGTAATGGTAACTCAATGCAGTTCTGTGTGGTAAACGTATTTTCTTTTAAGGTAATCAACATCCACCCTAGGGGAAGAACAAGGGATACACTTGGAATACAACAATGTAGGCTTAGGCCCCAAAATATGCTCAGGGACAGCATGTAATTATTTTCTGTACACTGAGTTTGAATCTGATACTTTCCTTGAATTTAAAGTACTTGTTTATGGGCCCGCAAAGTGGAAAGGAAGTTCTAGGAAAACTTGGGAGGTTGCAATTGTCATGGAAACAAATTCCTTGGGATCGATTTGTTTCCAGAGTTTTGGAGGCAACATGGTGGGGCAGCAGAAAATACAAAATATGTTGATTAATGGGGGGGGGGAGCGGGTGGTTTCACTTTCCTGGTGGATGGGTTGGACTTCTGAATACTCCAAGGAACACACACAACTTCACAGGACCCACCTTCCATCACAGCTCCACTCCTTTCCAGATCTTTGCACAACTTTTTGGCAGGGCTCAGCACTCTTGATTCAACCATTTCTTTCTCTTTTCAATAGCCCTGGTTTTTAAAAATTGCTATTTTACCTATTGTTTTCAATATGGTATTTTACTGCCTATGCTGTACAGGAAGAAATTCATTAATGCTTCTAGTGTCACTCTTCACAGTTCTTTAAAATGTTTGGATTTTTTGGCACACATTTAACCTCTAGGATGGAGGTGTAGGCATCAGCTCACTGGGAAGCCCAAATGCAGCTGGGGACTGTGAGGTCAGCTGAAAGGTTGGTGATATTTTAAGTGTGTGGTTTCTGTGTGCCAGCCTGGCAGGCTTTATCAGTGTCACCAACAGCTGATGAGACTGAAAGCACAAAATCTCACAGTAATCTACTTCTGAGGGATGCACACACTTCAGAGACCCTTAAATGATTCCAGATGAGGAGGTGAGTGGCAGAAAATTTAATGTAAGCTTTCAAAAGCAACTGCTCACTGAGCTCTGCTGTTTATGAAATGAAAGCTAAACCCCAGCCTTTCCAAGGGCACTGGAGATAGGCTAAGTCAAAGCAGCAAGCTGCTAGCAATGATCTGGAAAGAGCAGTGAGGACACACACTCAACTTCTGAAGACTAGAGCATGGCTGATTTCCAGAAAAAAAGGCAGTTCCATTGTTCTCATGTTTTTCTGTAAAAACTCACCCATGACTAGAGAGCATTACTTACTTTCTGACTCCCCTAAACCCGAAGAAGTTTAATGAAAAATCTCTTGCCCTCATGCAAAAATTCTGCTTGTATTAAATGTACAAGGAAATCCCAGTGAAATTTCCTGTCCAACCACCTAACTCTTAAGTGCAACACAAACTCCACAGGGCAAATGAAATCCATCAGATGAAGGCTAGAGGTGGCTCTGAGTCAAGAGTAAATGCTACTTTCTAATCACATTTGCCTCACAGCATATTGCACTGCTAAAGGCTGACTGTTTGATGACCTCTCAGAAATGGTGCTGCTCAGAACTAGCAGGGGCTGTGTGGGTCCCATCACTAATTTGTATGGCAGCAGTGGCACTAATATGAAGCTAAGTTTCAACAAGGTCCATTCAGAACTCTGCCAGGATGTGAAGGCTGAGATCCCACTGCAGTGGAAAAACAATGGTATCTCAAAGCAGTTTTTTTAACCAAATAATCTTCAGATCTAAGAAAGACACACACAATAAATCAACCAACCACATCTGCTTATCTAAACAACACTGTCCAAAGCTTCCAGATTTATTCCTTGAAAATAGTAACCTGAAAATATAAAGAAACCCAAACAAAATAAGAACTGCTTTATGAACCCTGACAAAGGCCTGCAGATGGAAAACTAAAGAAGCACAACTCTGCTTCACTGCTCTCCCAGGCTGCCCACACAAAGCTCCCAATTTCTTTTCCTGTTATACCAAAAGCAAGATATCAAATAAAAACCAAAACAAAACCACCCCCACCTTGATTTACTTTTAAATAATTACTTATGTTCTAATTAAGATGTAAATTAATTCTTTAGGATTTTGAGATAAGCACTCAAGGCAGTGTGCCAGCCTTCGAGAAGGCTGCAGAACTTCTATGGAATATTGGAATATTTTGCCCACGAGTGTGACATTAATTCTTCTCTTTAGTAGCTGCTGTTGCTGCTGTGTTTCAGAGGTGTGTTTGAGAGTGAGAGATCTGACAGACATATTGAACTGATTTAGAACTGTGGCTGCTACTTACATTATTGATCATGAGGTGCATGATTGTTTTCGGGATCAGATCTCGGATACATTTGTTAATAATAGACATGTAGGAGTCCACAAGATTTCGAATTGTCTCCACCTGTCTTTCCAGCTGGGGGTCCATTGAAAAATTATCTGCTTGGCCATTCTCTTCAGTTTCAGTCTACAAAGAAGAAAAAAAAAAAGCCTTTCAGATTGAAGTAAACTTGAAACATATTGGGGCGAAAACCCCTGGACTTACACTGTAGTAATCCAGCAACATAACTCTTACAAAGACTATCCACAGGTTAAAATATGAACTCTAGTCTTATTTAACATTGGTGTTCAGCATCATGAAATCTGGACCTTTAAAGTTTAATGCCAAATGAGACCTTTTGCACAAAGCACGTGTATTTCCACACAAATTTTAATTTTATGTTAAAGAAAGTTTTCAGACAAAGATACACAGTGGTAAATGTCGCACCGATAAATTATTTCAGATCACTTACTGCAACACTTATAAAATCTTTTACCATTCACATTCAGCCAGCTGGACCCATGCAAGAAGGCAGCACCATAACTCTGGATTTTTAATTTTATCCTTCTGTGGGTTAAACCCACCTTTGTTATTTAAAGCTTATTTATTTATTTGTGACAAATTTTGCAGTTCAGTCTCAGACTTGTTAGATGTGAATAGCACTTATATAAACAAAGGGTTTATAAAAGATAACAGCAAAAGCATCATTGCTTCCAATGCTCAAGGCTGAATTATGTATTTGAAGTCTCTTTTTCACTGGAGAGAAAAAAACTTCTTTGTATGTAAACAGCTGACCTAATTAAATAGCAGGAACTTTAACTGGAAGCTAAAAGATCTATACCTTGCCTCAGTCTGGCTGTATAAATATAGGTAAACGCAAAAGAAAAATAGTAACATTTTGGTGAAAATCAAACTGCTGTCCGAGGCTTGCAGATGCCAAAAGAATGGAATTTCTGCCCAGAGAGTACAAAGAATAACATTCCTCAAACTCTGATATTAAACTTCTCCCTGAAAACAACTGCCAGAGCATTAATAGCACCACTGTAAAATCTAAATCTGAGTACCTGAGTATCTGAGCATGCTTCTGTGGGTACCTAGAAGCATAAAATCATAGAACCACAAAGTGCTTTTGGTTGGAAAAGAAGAAGCTTTTTGAATTCAAAGATTTTTTGACTTCAGCCAAAGTACTTCAGGCTTGCAGCTCATGTTGTTCCACCCCCCCTTGCAGGCAGGGACACCTCCCACCACACCAGGCTGCTCAGTGCCCCATCCAACCTGGCGTTGGACTGAGGAACACAAAGCAACAGAAAGCACTTGCAAAACTGAAGAAGCCAGCAAGGAGAACGAGCTATGCATCAGCCAGAGCCCTGCCAGCACAGCTCCATTTACAACAGAGCTTTTAGCTAAAATTGGCACATGGCTGGTGCTTTAAAGATTTCTGGAGCAGCTGAGATCAGTATCAAACCCACCAGTGAAAGGCCATTAGTGCTAAATATGCAAACATGTCACCAAAGAGGCTTCTCCCTGCAGGAAACTGGGCCAAGAAGGGATTCCTGCTTTCATGCCCTAGTGCAGGGTCTGCTTCAGCTCACGCACCATTGCCAGGTAGAGCACTTGTAACCTGTTAAACTACAGCTTGGCCAGTCCAGCCTAAATGAAACGGAATGTTTGTGATGTGTTAAGTTCTAGTTTTGTTAAGAAATAAGACCCAATGTACCGTTTAGAAACAAAACGGAGTGTTTGTAAAAGAACTTTCAAAAGTACGGGTGAATTACTGGAAAAGCAGCTGATCTTTAAAAACAATTAGCTGTGCTTCCTAAAAATCTTGTGACTGTGGAGGACACTGAAAGGGCTCTTGATGAAAACAGCATTTTCAATGCTGTAACACTGGTAGACACTACCTTAAAAACCTTAATCTTTTTGTTAATAAACTGCATGTAGCCAAGTCACAGTGCAAAGACTATTTTCCTTAGCCTCCATGTCTAAAGGAAAACTAATGGTAATTTTCCTTGTGAAATACCAAAGAAATAAAAAACCATACATCTCTCATATATCTGCAGATTTTAGCCAAATAACTACAGACCAAAAATGCCCCCTTCCCAGTTCCCCCGTATTTGACATCTATTCTCTTTCTTTTCTTCTTTGCTGTCTATATAAAGTGCAGGTTTTTTTTTTTGTTTTGGTTTTTTTTTTTTTATTCTTTAAATTACAGATTGCAATAAGATAGGTAACTGGCTAAGCAGCAAAGTGACAGATGTTTATCATTATCCTCATCAAGAGAATGTAAAGTAAAAATAGTAATTTGTCTCTGATCTTTCGGGCAAAGGGTAATAGTCTCTTGTTTGAAACTGTAACAGAGCTGACTTCATACTGTTGATTTATTTTCTCTGAAATCAAAAAAGATCAATCTTTCATAACTTTACAGTAATTTATTATGAAAGCTTCTGGCCATAGTATTCCTAATGATCTGATGTCTCAACTGAAGGTTTTTCATGCCAGAAACCATCTTGTTTGCATCGCTTAATGCAGATGGAAATCTGCCTCCAGCAGGTTTCTGTGCCCTCCAGGACCCCTCCAAGCATTAGAAAGCTTTCTCTGCTCAATGCCTCAGCCCTGTGCCAACAGCAGCAGCCAGAAATGAGGGTGCCTGGCAAGGCTGGGCATCTCAAGTGACAGAGATGCCCTATTCCACCTCCAGGCCGTTCTTTCACAGCAGCTCTTGTCTCTCTGAGCCTCACAGTGACCCCACCTTCAGTGCAGGTCATCCCTCAGCCCCCATCCCTGTTTCTTACAGCATGGCTCCTGCAGTGAAAGCCTGCTCAGTGAATAAACCCACAGCAGAGCACGGGAGCAAACCCTGCCAGCTCTGTGCCCACTGCTAACAGCATGGCCAAGCTGAGCAGGAAGGGAGAACAAAGAAGGTGCAAACAGCTTTCCATGCCTCCTTTCCCAGCCAAGGCAGCCCCAGTCCTTTCAGCTCCTCATCCCCAAGCCAGAACTCACTAGTTCCAACACCAAGTGTTAAGTGACAGCACATGAATCTGGACTAGGTTTTTAGTCAGTTGACTCTTGCTTAATGCTGCTATTAATTGTTGACAGGAATGGAATATTACTACTTCAAAGGAATGCAACTGCAATTACTTTAGGGAGTTCTGCAAACCTCCAACAAAGAAAGCTAAGGAAGAAGCTAGAGTGCTAAAAAAACAGGTAAAGGAAATTAATTAACCTGGGAAAACTCTAAATCAGAGTATGTGATGGAAATACACCAAGGCTACAAAAAAGCAACAGGTGAAAAAAACACAGATGAAGAGAAGGTAAGGTGGGAGCCAGGGAGTGCTTCCATATACCCTTCCACACACCCCCAGACATCCTTCCCTTCTGCTCCCTGCACTTTACACTGAAATATTGATCTCTTGCACTCTGCTGTGGTCTCACCTGTCTGAAGCTGCTCTGTGATCCCTGCAGAAAAAGGTGCTACTGAAACCCAGGGTACACCCCTGCTGCTCCCCAACTTCCCTGCATTCACACACCTTCTGTACTAAGAACGTGTTAAGGATTAACTAATGTGTCATACAAGAGCAGACCAAAAAGTGCCTGTGAAATCCAAACCACTGAAGTTTGTGGGAATTTTACTGCTGGCTGCAGTGGGACCAGGATTTCATCATTTCTACCAGAAAAGTTATCGATCTTCTGAAGATTGTGAGCTCTCTGCTGCAAGAGGAATGATTTAGTGTGGTATTGGGGATGCAGGCATGAGGAACTGTGTGCAATCCAAAACAAAGGAGTAATACCTTAGGATATCAGGGTAATTTTTCTGATTGCAGAAATTATCAGCAAGTTCAAGAATGTCCCAAGGAAACCTAATGAAAAGTGATTCCTTTTGAAATTCACAGCAAAACTGGGTAACACACTGAAAACAGTCCTGAGCTGGCCACACAGAGAGAGCAATACTTCTAATTTCCATGATTTCATTACATTCAGGGCAGCTGCCAGCATATTTAAGAATGTCTTGTATAACATTCCTGATGTCAGTTCCAAGAAGGAGCATTTGTCTGGCATTTTCATTAAAGAAGTGTATCAACCAATTTTCTGTAATCAAAAAGGCATTCTATTAACAACGACCAAGAGGAAGCAGACTGGAAGGTGACTGACTCAAGGGTAAAAATCAGAGCAGCAGCAAAGCAATGCTCTGTGCAGTACAAATTATGTCCATGGCTGCAGTAAGAAATTGCTCATTTAAAAGCTGCTTTCAGCTCTTTCATTTACAGTTCCAAGTTCATAACAACAACAACCACCTGAGAATTAATTATTCCAGCCAGATTGTATTTATGTTTTAATTCACAGCTGCTGAAAATGCATATAAAATCTATTTTATGTATCCCTGTCCAAGTAAGTTTTTTCTTTAATGCACCAACACTCAGCACACTGCAGTTGTCCTAACCCGCCCTGCTTTTCCCTAAATCTTTACAATTGATTCTCTCTTCATTGCAGTTAGATGCTGGATATATAATTTAGCTAAGATCCTCTCAGCTGTACATAGTGTGCCTTTTGCCAGAGGACTGCTGAAACCACATGATGGCTTCACACAGGGAGGTTTTCTTACTGGAAGGAACCACAAGTAAATGACAATACATTACTTTTGTGTATTTACAACAAAGCAAGCAGCAGAAAAAGAACACTTCCCGGGTAGCTTGGAAGCTGTCCTTTTCCCTCACAGAGGGTGACTTTGCCACTCTCCTCCATGCTTTCAGCATGTCCTGACTTTGTACTGCTGTTCCCTTTACTGAGCCACCCACAGGCTGCCCCTTTCAGCTGCTATGCCTTCATGAGCAGCCTGGAACTGCTCTGAGCAGAGTTCTGATCTGGCTCTCCCTCACACACAGCATCTCTCTCACTTCATAACCCCCAGAAGAATGATACACCCTCGTGCAGTTTGGTTCACAAGTGTTTTACTCTCTGGATTAGCTTAAACAATCATTTACTCCTGTTCTTCTCTGTGGCTACAGACATTGTCCAGGACAGACCATGAGCTAAATCCTCCTGCTGAATGCACACACAGCTCCCCAGCTACCTCCATGGCTTTAACCATCCCAAACATTCCCAGTCTGGCAGGCTCTCTCCCTGCCTTTTTTCATAGAGAAGCTGAT